ACCATCCACCCTGCTCAGCAGCCTGAGGCCCTCACCATCCACCCTGCTCTGCAGCCTGAGGCCCTCACCATCCACCCTGCTCAGCAGCCTGAGGCCCTCACCATCCACCCTGCTCTGCAGCCTGAGGCCTTATCTATTGTTTGGTGATGGCTGGTGGAGCTGTGAAAATGGCTCATATCCTGGTTCTTCTCTGCCTCATGTCTGTGTTGAATTCTGAAAAGTACTCTCAACATGAGGAGTTGAGTGGACTCATGACTGTCTTGTCACCTGTGGTGAGTGTTCCTTGTAAAGGTTCCAATGTGTTACACAAACAATTCCATTTTATTTTGTTATCCGAGCCGACTAGCTCGTTTAACTTTGGTTGTTGTGCTCCATATCCTTCCATTATGGTTCTTCAGGTTCCTCTTCATGTTAAGATAAAGGATGCGTTGTGTGCTTCAACTATAAGAAGAAGATGCCTGATTTTTTTGTTATTATTGCTTTCTGGGAACGTGCAGCTTAACCCTGGTCCAACTAATTGCAGCCAGATTGCCACTCCGGCTGACTTTAAGTCAAGATCTGGATTGGGCCTCCTTCACCTTAATGTACGTAGTTTGTTATCCAAACTTGATTTTATTCGGATCTGGGCTGAATCTACTGATGCTGAAATTATTGTTTTATCAGAAACGTGGCTTACCAAATCTATCTCTGACTCTGACATTTCCATAAATGGTTACAATATATATCGTACTGACCGACCTAAGAGGGGTGGTGGTGTTGCCATTTATGTGAAAAATAAGTTGTGTGCATCCTTGGTGGTATCTAAATCAGTTGGTAAACAATTTGAATTTTTGGCGTTAAATATTGAGGTGTCTAAGGGCCTTGTAGTTACAGTGGTTGGCTGCTACAGGCCCCCTTCAGCTGTCAGTGAGTCTTTGACCTCTCTGTCAAGCCTTTTACATCAACTTGATAACAAGGAAATTGTTTTACTTGGTGACTTAAACTTGAACTGGTTAACGTCTGTGTAAGAGGACTTAAAGGACCTTTGTGTCTCATTAAACATTACTCAGATTGTGGATAGTCCCACCAGTCCTAACATTAAATGTCCCAGTAAGTCAACTTTGATTGATCTCATTTTGACAAATGACCCTCATAAATACTCTGCTGTGGGAGTATTTGCTAATGATGTTAGTGACCACTGTGTTGTGGCTGCAATTAAAGACACAAAGGTTCAGAAAGGTAAACCGCGCATCATCATTAAACATGACACTAAGCACTTTGTTGAACAGGGTTTTTTATTTGACTTGTTTTAGTTTGAGTGGAGCAAAATTTATTTAATCGATCATACTGAAATTGCTTGGTCATATTTTTATCAAGGTTTCAAGGAAATAATAGACAAACATGCACCTCTGCGCAAGTTTAGAGTGAAGGGCTGAGATAACCTCTGGTTTACAGCAGAATTATCTAGTCTTCTGCACGAAAGAAATAAGGCCTGGGCGAAGGCTAGAAAGACAGACAGACTGACTGGCTCCATTATAGGCAACTTAGAAATAGTTTTACTTCTCAAGTTAAAAGTTCTAAATCTAAGTATTTTCTTTCTGATACCACTGAAAACTTGAATGATCCTAGAAAATTCTGGAAAGCTATTAAAGCTTTATCTGTCAGTGGAAATCAAAATGAATTGCCCCCCTGTATTGCCACAGAATCTGGCACTATATCTGACAGACCCACTATGCTGAACTGTTTTAATGAGCATTTTGTATCTTGTGGCTCACTGTTCGACTCTGTTTCTGACTCTGCTTTTCTGTGTACACTTCAGTTCCTGATCCTGTCCAAAGTGGCACAGATGAACCTTTCCGCTTTTCTCCATTTTCGGTTGCTGAAGTACATGAAGCCTTAACTAAGTTAAATCCTAAGAAACCTGCTGGTCCTGACAACTTGGAACCCTTTTTCTTGAAAATAGCTGCAGGTTTTATTGCACCACCTCTGACTTATCTTTTTAACCTTTCTGTTAGCTCTAACTCAATTCCAAAAATATGGAAATCAGCCTATGTCCTCCCTCTACATAAAGGAGGAGAACCTAGTTGTTTGAATAACTATAGGCCAATTTCTAAATTGTCAGTTTTAATTAAGAGTTTTGAAAATTTGGTGAGTGAGCAGTTAAAGGAGTTTTTAGGTGCAAATGACATTCTTTCTAAGCATCAGTCTGGCTTCAGAAAGAAACACAGCATTATAACAGCAGCTATGAAGATGGTGAATGATCTCACTGATTCGGTTGATAAGAAGCAGTGCTGTGCAGCACTATTTATTGACCTTTCCAAGGCCTTCAATACATGACCATCTCATTTTGCAACAAAGATTGTCTAATATTGGTATTTCTGATCAGGCTCTGGGTTGGTTTGTGAACTATCTGTTGGAAAGGTCGCAGTTTGTTCAATTTGGTGGGCTCACCTCTGAATGGTTAAACATTTGTAATGGTATACCGCAGGGTTCTGTGTTAGGTCCGCTGTTATTTTCAATTTACATTAATAATTTGGGTCATAATGTGGGTGGAGCTAATTTTCATCTTTATGCAGATGACACATATACTGTGCTGCCCCCCTCCATCACCTTGCCAAATTGCAGACTGTTTTTAATATCATCAAGACTCAGCTTTTTCAACTAAAATTGCTTTTAAATCCTGACAAAACTAAGGTAATGTTGTTTTCAAATAGGTCAAAACCTGACAACACCTTAGATATTGTTACAACTCAAGGAAAGAAACTAGAGATTGTCTCCAGCTATAAATATCTGGCCATATGGATAGACGACTGCCTGCTTTTAAACCTCAGGTGAATAATCTTCTTAAAAAGCTGAGGTTGAAGTTTGGGTTTTATTTTAGAAACAACAGCTGTTTCTCATTTGAGGCCAGAAAGAAACTAATTTCTGCAACCTTTTTACCACTTCTTGATTATGGTGATAATTTATATATGAACGCTCCAGCCCATTGTTTGAGGATGTTGAACACTGCGTATCACAGTGCTCTGAGATTTGTCACAAACTGTGCAGTACTGACTCATCACTGTACTCTGTATTCCAGGATTGGCTGGCCCTCACTGATTATGCAAAGGCTCTGTCACTGGTACCTGTTTATCTATAAAGCCGTGCTAGGCATGCTCCCTTCTTATATCGGCTCTTTGATTGTTCAGAAAGCTGGTGGTAGCTATAGCTTGAGATCGCAAGATGTTGCCCTATTGTCTGTACCAAGTGTAAGGACTGAACTGGGAAAAAGGCCTTTAAGTGCTCGGCTCCTCTTACCTGGAACAGCCTTCAAAAAGACTTGAATCTTGGGAGCCTTATCCCGCTGCTTGATTTTAAAGTTCTGATAACCTCAATGATAAATACATCAGTTAGTTCTTGTCATTGTCTGTAGGTATTTTAATGTTATCACTGGTACTGGATTCATACTACTTTTAATGTATTTGTTGTGTTGTGTCTTGTCTGTAACTTTTTATGCTTTCACACAAATATTTCACACAAATATATAATATTTGTATGACAATTTATATCCAAGAGTAATTATAGTGTGTTTATATCTTAAAAAAAGCAACATGTCTCATCCCTGCTCACAAGTGTTTTCTGCTTTATTGATGAGAAGCTATTTTCTAGCTCTTTTTACCGCTTATATCAATATCTTGACAGTTTCCAGTTTCCACCACAGATTCTGC